TCTGCTTACCACTAGTGCTTTTCGGGCTTCAAAGTTGAGGCCCGATACGAATCTCTCTATTTTGGTTACCTCGGTGGGGACAAGTTCGGGTGCGAAGCGTGCTAGTTCAAGGAATCGTTTGTGGTATTCCATAACGGTAGCTGTCCTTTGTTTCAGATGGAGAAACTCCTCGTACATGGACGCTCTCACGTGTGTTGGATAGAACCTCTCTCGTAGTCGCGTTTTGAGTTGTTCCCAGTTGAACCCTGGTTCTTGTTGGTAAGTGGGACCCTCGTGGATCCACTAGAGATCGGCCTCGTGTCCGAAGTAGAACGAGGCTATCTCCACGCGGCGTTCTTCTGGGCATTCCACTAACCCGAGGATTTTGTCAAGGGTCCGGATCCATTCCTCCAGAATTACGGGATCATCCTCTCCTGAAAATGTGGGTGGTCAGTGGTTAGAGACTTGTCGGGCGAAGTCGGTGTTCGCGTTCGACGGAGGTGGTGGGGGCCTGTCGCTGCGGAGAGCTACGTTGCTTAGTGCATGGGCGACTTGTGTTAGTTGTTGTAGCGTTTGGGTTAGGGGGTCGTGCGCGGCGGGTTCTGGAGTCCTTGATTGTCTTCTGTTGGGTGCCATGATGTCGTCTTCCTGGGTCAATGTTTATAAGAACGTTAAATTGGGGCTTGGTGTCCTTCTTTGAGATAATGGGGGAAAGTTTTCTCCAGGTAAGGGAGGTTATGTGTAGGTTTCACAATCTCACCGCGTGTCCTAAGATTCCTGAATCTTATGTTCCTAGATACTTAGAGTTCGAGCCTATTGTCCTAAAGTCCGGTCTTAAGAGTCTTATCCTAGGGTCAAACTTAGGCTCTGATACCAACTGTAACACCCCCGATTTTCCGGATATTTAAAACTTATAAAATAAAGGTGAAATCTAGTTGAATCCCAAAACATAGTACAAGAGTATGGGGTGCTATGCCACACCTGAGCTAGAGAACTCAGGTGCACAGGCTAACTGACTAATATCCTCAAATAGTATCAGTACTAAATCATGGCACGCAGGCCGAAAGGGAAAAGCTATCTAAGCTACGTCCAAGCTTCTAGCGCGCTCCAGTGAACTACTCGTCTGTGCCTGAAAGCCAAATATATCTGTTCAGCGAGAGATGCTGGTAACCCACTCCAACGCATTGAAATACAATACGTATAAAGATATAAATAGATATACGAAAACCATTTTAAAGCATGAAGATATATCCTATGAGACTCTAGCTTTTAAAACCGGGAATGACTCGACAGATAAGGCTAGACACAAGCAACAGTTATAACAGGCGTATACAATCCACAACAGGCAAGACAGATAAAGCTGAGCATAATTTATAATCATAACCCAACATAAACGATCCCCAGCATAAATCCCTTAGTCACATCCCCAATATACTCATAAACACAACTCCTCCATATCTCATCACATAGCATACTTTGTTGGCGCCACAGGACTAATCGCATGCCCATACATGAGGGTCAGCGCATATAGCTCTGACACGGCCCCGCAGCACCCTGCCCCGTCTCACATTACGGAGGAGCCGATCGCAACCGACTGATGGACATTTGTCCTACATAATATTTATATACCTGACCGGTCTTTACCAGCCTGGTTAACAGTTGGGATGGTTCTCAGCCCATTCAACTGCCCGTATAGTGGACCTTTGTCCTATATAATATTTATATACCTGACCGGTCTCTACCAACCTGGTTAACAGCCGGTATGGTTCTCAGCCCATCCGACTCCCCGTATAGTGGAACTTAGTCCTATATAATATTTATATACCTGACCGGTCTCTACCAGCCTGGTTAACAGCCGGTATGGTTCTCAGCCCACCCGACTGCCCGTATAGCCCGATTGATCTCAACCAACTCGGGGTTACATGCACACATAACACATAGCAAGTACATGCAACCCACATTAGCACATTGGGAAGGGGGAGAAAACGTATAACAAAACCTATGCGTGATCCTTCACATGCTAAGAATGGTCCTAAGGGGTTCATACTCCTCCCACCTAGGTCAACGGGATACGAATTCAACTAGCAGGCAATATATAAGACTCATACAACCTACGAACGGTACCCGAAACGTCAAACTAGACATAGGCACGATAGACGGAGTCCGTTGGGACACCACGGGGGGTCAGGGAAACATCAAACGGGGAAGCCGAAATCCCCAATTGGGGTGCAAACCAGCGGGTAGCCGGTGGGTGAGGGATCACCCGCCGGCTGCCCGCCGGCGGTAACAAGACCGGGCAGCGGGTGCCCGGCGGGCAGCTGCCCGCCCGCCGGCTGCCCGCTGCCGGCGTTGCCCAAGGAGGCCGCGGGTAGGTGACGGGTCCCCTACCCCCACCTACCCCCCACTGACTCTTTTCATCAAGAAACGCCCCGAGAACCTTTGTGGAACCCGAAACCATGCTTGGACACTTTCAAACGCAATTGATAACGCACGTAGACAATTAACGGATCAAAATCAGGAAACAATCGGCACATAACCTATCATGCTTTTCTAAACATAATAAACACCCAATCATGCGAATTCCCACCCAATATACCAAGAATAATTCCATACGATACAACCTAAGGTTCTAATCACTTTTATGCCAACGAGAATACGATTCGTCTTCTAATTACAAGATCCGGTACAAATAACACATAAGCATCAAGAACGCCATACAATTATCAAGAGCAACATATAATTATCAATAACAACATATAATTATCAAGAACAACATATAATTATCAAGAACTCCATATAATCATCAAGAACATCATAATTATCAAGAATCTCCCAATATCAAGATTATCAAGATCCCCCATGGGATCATCACATCAATCATCAATAATAATCATCACAAGTCATTAATACACAATAATATGGGGAAACCCTAAGGGGGAATCATAACTATGAAAATAGGTTTTGTTGAGACATGGGTTACCTCTTAGCCTTAATTAATTCCTTGGCTATGAAGGGCCTTTCTTTAAGCTTTCTTGCTTTCTTGATTTCTTCTAGGGGGATTCTTGGAGCTCTTTGGGGTGGTGGGGGTTATTCTTGTGGTGGGGGGTTTCTAGGTGCCCCTTAAGTCCCCTATTTATATATTTAGGAGTCCTAGTTGGGAACTAATATTATGGGCTTGCTAATTCTATTTCTTTTGGAACTAAGGATTGGGTTTAGGAATAAGAGCCCGTGGACTATGGTGGGCCTTCCTAATTAATTATTGTGATTTAATTCTTTCTTTTGGGTAATTGATTAAATGATTTAATTGATCTTAGGGGTCGTAACACGGGGTGTTACAAGAGCTATATGCGCTGACCCTCATGTATGGGCATGCGATTGGTCCTGTGGCACCAACAAAGTGTGCTATGTGATGAAGTATGGATGAGTTGTTGTTATGAGTGTCTTGGGGATGAGACTATGGGATTTATACTGGGGATCGTATATGTTGGGTTATGATTATTAATTGTGTCTATCTTATCTGTCTTGCCTGTTGTAAACTGTATATGCTTGGTATAACTGCTGTCTGTGCTTAGCTCTATCTGTTGAGTTTATTCCTGTTTTAAAAGCTAGAGTTCGTAGGATATATCTTCATGTTCAAAATGGTTTTCGTATATCTATATATATATATATATATATATATATATATATATATATATATATATATATATATATATATATATATGTATATATATATATATATCTATATGTATTGTATTTCAACGCGTTGGAGTGGGTTACCAGCATCTCTCGCTGAACAGATATATTTGGCTTTCAGGCACAGACGAGTAGATCACTGGAGCGCGCTAGAAGCTTGCGGCGTAGCTTAGATAGTTTTCCCTTTCGGCCTGCGTGCCATGATATAGTATTGATACTGATTGAGGTTTTAGAATTTAGCCTGTGCACCCGAGTTCTCTAGCTCGGGTGTGGCATAGCACCCCGTACTCTTTGTATCGTATTTTGTGATTTAATGAGATTCTATCTTTATTATATAAGTTTTAAAAGTCTTGAAAATCTGGGGTGTTACAACCTCAGACTAAACCCAAAGCCAAAAAAAAAAAAAAGAATATATCCTAATTTATCTCTACACTCGCCCCAAAAACTACGCGGCATAATTACTTTACATAATGAACATAGTCCCAAAAGACAAAACTACCCCTTAACTTAATAGAAATACATGACATTTGGTTTCAAAGAGCACCAAATCTGAACTGTTAAAAAAGATAAATAAACGAATAGGATTAAGGCTCACGAATTCATCCAACTAGAGGGGTTGCACCGGATTCAAAAAAAAAAAAAAAAAAAAAAAATATATATATATATATATATATATATATATATATATATATATATATATATATATATAAAATAGAAGTTTAGGGGAACATATTCAGAATAGTAGTGATATACCTATTTATGTATAAATGTTTGTTTAGTGGGTCCTTATCTTAGTGGTCAAAGGTTCTAAACAAGGCATTGGAGGCTTGTGGTCTATTATGCAAGATGGACCGAGGTCTAGAGGGATAGTTTTAAGATAGTTTGGGGATGCAATATAATTTTTCCAAGGACAATTTCTAGATGACCACTTGGTTTAGGTTCCTCGGGTTTCTCCCAGTCTCACTCAGATTGGCCTTCGGGTCAAAACTTAATACGCAATGTACCCGAGGATTTAGATTTCTAGAAGTAGAATTAGTCCCTATAATTTCTATATAACTTATCAATAAATCAATTAGGAAGATAATTCGACTTTCATGTTCAAGCATTAGATTTTTATTTACATGTTAAACGCATAAGAAGTATCAAGGAAGACACAGAAATGCACAATGGATCAATAAAATGAGAAGTCAAGAAAACATACCGTACCAGTGGGCGCGAGGTGGGCGGTCTACCGCCTGTCAAGTCCCCACTGGAACGTGGTAGTGGGCACGTGGTGGGTGGTCGACCTCCTGCCAAGGCCCCACTGGAACGTGACTGTGAAGAAGGAATCACTTCGGGAAAGTCCCAAGATCACCGCTTTCCGACTGGTCTTCAAGAGTGAAGGTGATGGGCTCCATCTTTTGCCTTTTACCGGTTTCCCGGGAGTCGACGATCGCGACCGGGCAGCTTTCCCGAGGTCGGGAAGCATCCTCCAAACCTCCGAATATAACGTGGATGGTCGGTTTGGACGCCGGTCGGCCACTAGATGGAGGATCGGGATCCCGCCAATCTTGATCTCTGCGATGATGAGAATGCCTTTGATCTTTTCTCTCGCCCACTCTTTTGTTCTCTTCTCTTTTCCCTACACATTTGTCCATCTTTCCCAAGTTAAACAAATCTTTCAACAGCTGTTTTAAATGTGTGCATTCCTCCGTGTCATGTCCTGCACATCGATGGTAGGCACAATGTTTCGTCTTATCCGACCCATCTGGTCCCGGTTGAGGTAAACGGATAAGGTTGCAGGACTGTGCATATTGCATGGCCTCCGCCGCTGATCGGTTCAATGCCGTGAACTCTCCTGGTCGGGTACGGGGTCGGGAATGATCTTCCGACCGATGATCCGCCCGACCGGAAGGCTTCCGGGATGATGTCCCGACCTCTTGTGACCTCTTGACGGCATTTGCCTCATCAGCATTGGCATAATCCGTCACTCTACGGATGGCTTCCTCATAAGTGGTTGGAGGGTGGAGTATGAAATCTTGATAAAGATAACTGGCCCGGAGGGAAATATGCAACATGTGGATAGCCGTCAGATCGTCCATCGGCTCAACCTCCCTGACCGCCGCCTTCCACTTGACTAGAAAATCCGTCAAGCTTTCCCTATCCAACTGCTTGGCCTTCTCGAGGTACATGTAGGGCTTTCGAATAACTTTAGAAGTGACAAACTTCCGCATGAACTTGGCCGCCAAACTGGCAAAATCAGAAATAGAGCCCGGTTGTAGCGTTCTGAACTATTCCGCCGCTCGACCAGTGAGCGTGGAATAAAAAGCCCTACACATAACGGCGTCAGACACGCCCATCATCATCATATTGCCGTAGTAGGTGTTGACATGAACTTCTGGGTCTGTCCGCCCATCGTATTCCTTGTTGACGGGGATGCGCAAATCGAGCGGGTAAGGCTGGGCCATAATCTCCGCCGTGAAGGGTGTCCTCAAGAGAGAGGCTAAATGATCGGTGGGGGCCTCACAACATGCTCGTTTTGCCAGCGAGTGAACTCTGCCTGGAGTTCGTTGATCAATCCTCGGGTCTCATCTTGTACGACCGTTTGGGCTGGTTCCCGGGCCCGTCGTCGCCGATGAGATTTAGACCCACTATGCCCAGACTATCCCTCCTGGCTTGCCGCTCGCATGGGCGAATCAACCGAGCGTCTGTTTCGATCCTGCGGACCCAATCTTTGCCGCATTGCTGGTCGGAGTCGCTCAAATGCCCATCGCCCGGTTGGCTTCTACCTCAGGGTCTTCAGCTACCTGAGCGTGTGCTTCCGGTTTGACATGCTGAGCCTACCGTGGTTCCTCCATGGCCTCGGCACCCTGCGACCCCAACCTCGAACGAGCCGAGCGCCTAGCCCGGGGAGCGGGCTGAAGCTCCGGCTCGGTCGGCATGGTCGGGTAAATCGGAGGAGCGGAAGCTGGAGCCGTGTACGCAGGCATATATTGTGTATATCCAGCCAGCGGTGGATAATACATCGGCGTTCCGGGCCAACACCCATACTGAGGAGGAGGGATCGGGTATAGATACTGGCTGGGAAACAGATACTGTAGACCGGGCGGCGGGTATACCGGTTGAATGTAGTTGACCGGGTTGTGGGCCGCCGAATGAGGTGGTGATAAGTTGAGGTTCAGATCCACGGTCTGACCCTGATATTGTGTGCGCTAGTGATCAGATGAACTTGCTGCATCCTCTTGGTCATCCTCGAGTGCTTGGTACATGAATGGATACATAGTGTTAATCGGGATTCGGACACGTCTACAATAGCGTTCTTGTCTCGGTCCCCACAGACGGCGCCAAAATGATAGTACTAATCCCACGTGTTAAGCGGTCAAGACACTTCATACGATCAATTCAAAGCAAATAAAGTCTTTTATTAATCAAGAAGGACCTAATACAATCTAAGTGATTATCCCGAGGGCCGACTGACTGCGGTCGGGCAGCTCTGTAGATAATCTATCGATTGTTCCAAAAGTCTGTCACACTATAGCCGCCGTGGGTACTTATAGTCGCTAGGCCGGAGACACAGCTCCGGCCGGCCGGCATGTAACCCACGTAGCATCCACGTGTAGCCATCCCGCGAGCCCTCTCTGTCAGCGTGTAATATTGCCACGTACCTCTTCTCGAGATCCTTAACACGGGTAGCTAACCGGGTGGCAAAGGCGATCGGTCGGGAAGTCTATCGGTCGGGTCCGACTGTAACACCCCAGATTTTCGAAACTTTTGAAACTTATATAAAGAAGGTAAAATCTCATTAAATCCCAAACCATAATACAAAGAGTACGGGGTGCTATGCCACACCTGAGCTAGAGAACTCAGGTGCACAGGCTAACTAACTAATATCCTCAACAAAGTGAATGCATAAACGTGGCATGCAGGCCGAAAGGGAAACTATCTACTACTACGCTCCACGGCTCTAGCGCGCTCCAGTGTCTACTCTTCTGTGCCTGAAAGCAAAATATATCTGTTCAGCGAGAGATGCTAGTAACCCACTCCAACGCGTTGAAATACAATACATATAGACATATATATAGATCTACGAAAACCATTTTGAAGCATGAAGATATAACCTACGAAACTCTAGCCTTTAAAACAGGGATAGACTCGACGGATAGAGCTAAGCACAGACAACAATTATACCAAGCATATACAGTTCATAAGCATAGGGAACTAGGCAAGGCAGATAAAGATAAGCACAGTTAATATCCATAACCCAACATATACGATTCCCGGCATAAATCCCAAAGTCACATCCCAAGACACTCATAACGACAACTCAACCATATCTCATCACATAGCACACTTTGTTGGCGCCACAGGACCAATCGCATGCCCATACATGAGGGTTAGCGCATATAGCTCTGACATGGCCCCGCAGCACCCTGCCCCGTATCGCAACACGGAGGGGTCGATCGCAACCGACTGATGAACCGCAGCTCATCATAGTTTGATCGCAACCAAACAATGGACCGCAGCCCAAGAGTATGTCATCTGACCGCAGCCAGGAAATATGAACCGCAGCTCATGTAGAAACGTTTGATCGCAACCAAACTGTGGACGCAGCCCGAGAGTGTAAATCTGACCGCAGCCAGCTTCTGAACCGCAGCTCAGGAATAACCAATCCGATCGCAACCGGTTTGGGGTATCATGCACACATAACACATAGCAAGCACATGCAACCCACAATAACACATTGGGAAGGGGGAGAAAACGTATAACAAAACCTATGCGTGATCCTTCACATACTAAGAATAATCCTAAGGAGTACATACTCCTTTTTTCCTAGGTCAACGGGATACCAATTCAACTAGCATGCAATATATAAGACTCATACAACCTACGAACGGTACCCGAAATATCAAACTAGACATAGGCACGATAGACGGAGTCCGTTGGGACACCACGGGGATCGGGGGAACATCAAACGGGGAAGCCGTAATCCCAAAGTAGGGTATTTTCCAGCGGGTAGCCGGTGGGTGAGGGTTCACTCGCCGGCTGCCTGCCGGTGGCGTAACTCCGGGCAGCGTGTGCTCGGCGGGCAGCTGCCCACCCGCCGGCTGCCCGCTGCCAGTGTTGCCCATAATGGCCGCGGGTAGGTGGCGGGTCCCCTACCCCCCACTGACTCTTTTTCACCAAAAACGCCCCGAGAACCTTTGTGGAACCCGAAACCATGCTTAGACACTTTCAAACGCAATTGACAACAATACGTAGACAATTAATGGATTCAAAAGCAAGAACATACGGCACATAACCTATCATGCTTTTCTAAACATAATCAACACCCAAACATACGAATTTCCCACCCAATCTACCAAGAATAATACCATACGAATTTCACGGTATGACCTAGGGTTCTAATTATTTTTAAATCAACAAGAACACAATTCCTCTTCTAATATCAAGATTCGGTAGGAATATCATATAAACATCAAGAACATCATATAATCATCAAGAACATCAAGAAACTCTTATCATCAAGATCACCCATGGAATCATAACACCAATTATCAAGATCATTATAACGAATCATCAACACACAAGAATATGGGGAAATCCTAAGAGGGAATCATAGCTATGAAAATAGGTTTTGTTGAGACATGGGTTACCTTTTAGCCTTAATTAATTCCTTGGCTATGAAGGGTCTTTCTTGAAGCTTTCTTCTTTCTTGATTTCTCCTAGGGGAATTCTTGGAACTTCTTGTGTGGTGAGGGGTTATTGTGGTGGGGGGGTTCTAGGTGTCTCTTAAGTCCCCTATTTATATATCTAGGAGTCCTAATTAGGAACTAATATTATAGGCTTGCTAATTCTATTCCTTTTAGGGCTAGGGGTTAGATTTTAGGGGTGAGGGCCCACAGACCATGGTGGGTCTTTCCCCTAATAAATTATTGTAATTTAATTCTTTCTTTGGGATAATTGGTTAAATGATTAATTGGTTTTAGGGGTCGTAACACGGGGTGTTACACTCTCCCCCCCTTAACGGGAAGCTTGGTCCCCGAAGCTTGGTTCTTGTCGGGCGACTCCCTCTTGGTTACCTGGTGTGAAGAGTTCGGGGTAGTGTTCCTTCATTGTGTCCTTGAGTTCCCATGTTGCTTCTTCGGTCTCATGGTTGGTCCAGAGGACTTTTACCATTTCTATGGCCCGACGACGGGTGGTTCTTGTCTTGGTGTCCAGGATTCTTACGGGTCTTTCTTCGTATGCTAGAGACTTGTCAAGGTCCACGACCTCGGGTTGTAGCACGTGGCTTGGGTCGTGCACGTATTTCTTTAGCTGGGATATGTGGAATACGTTGTGTACTCTTTCTAGTTTGATGGGTAGAGCGAGGCGATAGGCTAGATTCCCGACCCTCTCTATGATTTCATAAGGGCCGATAAATCGGGGGCTAAGTTTTCCTTTTCATCCGAATCTCATTACCCCTCGTGTGGGTGAGATTCTCAACCAAACCTTGTCCCCGGGGTTGAATTCGGCTTGTTTTCTCTTTAGGTCGGCGTAGGATTTCTGGCGGTCTTGAGCAGCCTTCATCCTTTCTTGGATGTGTTTGACCTTGGTTATGGTGTCTTGTAGGTATTGGGGCCCTAGTGTCACCGGGTCGACCATGTCCTCCCAACACAAAGGAGTTCTGCATTTTTGTCCGTATAAGGCTTCGTAGGGTGCCATACGGATGCTTGCGTGGTAGCTGTTGTTGTACGAGAATTCAATGAGGTCTAGGTGTTCTTCCCATGTCCCTTGGAAGTCTAACACACAGGCCCTCAGCATGTCTTCGAGAGTCTGAATGGTTCTCTCGGTTTGGCCGTCAGTGGTGGGGTGGAATGCCGTGTTTAGTTTCAGTTGTGTCCACAAGGCTGATTGCAGTGACTTCCAGAATTGTGAGAGGAACCTGGAGTCTCTATCGGACACAATGTTTCGGGGAATTCCGTGGTATTTCACCACTCGGGCTAGGTAGGCTTGGGCTAGTTGTGTCATCGTCCATGTTTCCTTCATGGCAATGAATCGCGCCGTTTTGGTTAGTCGGTCCGCTATGACCCAAATTTTATCCTTGCCGGTTTTTGTTGGGGGTAATCCTCCGACGAAGTCCATGGATATGGAATCCCACTTTCCTTGTGGTATCTCAAGGGGTTGTACGAGTCCCTTGGGTTTGCATCGTTCGGCCTTCACCCTTTAGCAGTTCAGGCATTTGGTCACGAAATCTGCGACTTCCTTTTTCATTTTGGGCCACCAAAACGACCTCTTCACCTCTTGGTATAGTTTTTCACCCCCGGGGTGCACCGAGTATGGGGCATTGTGTTCTTCCTCCAAGATTTGTTGTTTTAAGTGGGGATGCGTCGTGGGCACGCACCACCTACCTTGGTAGCGGAGACTGCCATCTTCGTGTATTTTGAAGGGTCCTTCTTTCCCTTGGGTTAGGTCGAGGCGTATTTTATCT